TTGCAATCAATCAGTGTTTGGTTACTGACCAGCTGGGGTAACATTACCATTAAAATCTAGTTAAATCTTAGCTATATATGCACATATATATGCACATATACAGTACCATTCAATCGGTGTCCGACCAGAAAACCCAGGATTTAAACACCTGTTTGTGTGTGGTTGTAAACATGCATGTATATACAAGATCTCTCCAATGGAATGTTTAAATGTGACTATGGAGGACCACAGACCCGACCCGTAAAGCCTGAATCCGACATAAGGGAGACCAGTGCCAAAGACCCTGAGAGGGACCCCAAGCGCGGAGCCCCCAGAGGCACCCGCGCCAGGAGGGCCGCCCAACCAACCCCCAAAGGGGACCACAGGAGAGAACACGGAGAACCCCACCAGTGACCACACGCAGTAACCCCCTGGGCCCAGCAGCGACAAGCTCATAGGCCCTTCTGGCACCCACCGTGCCAGAGGAGAACCAGGCATGGACACAGAGGCCCGAGGCCTGGGCCCCCAGGGCAACCCCCCAGGCCAAGGTCCAACTGGGCTAGGGGCCCTAATTCTCACCGGGCAGCCACCAGGCCAAGTCGGCACATGCCCGTGCACCCAGCCCCAGAGAGCGAGAGCCACGAGTGCGCCAGCGAGCACAACCCACCAGAGGGCAGCATGGCAGGGGAAGCAGTGGGCCCTCAAATGAGCCTGAAGAAGGGGCCACCCAAGTCCCAGCCTGACAAAAATCCAAGCATACACAGACACAATCACACAATMCCACCCTCATCCTCTCACCCACTCATTCAAAGACACACAAGATGGACACCAAATTCCACTCACACTCCCTATACATACTCTATACCCCCCAGGTCCAGGATATGTACCTGCCCCCTACAGAGGGCAGCTCACATCCAAACCCAGGAGGTAGACCCATTCAATCTGGGGTGGAGAGGAGCAGACAGCCAAGTCTCGGTCCGGACCACACCAGGCCGATTGGCCAGCCCCCTGCCCCAGCAAAGCCATGCCCCGGCCCACCTCCACACACCGCCAACGGCCAAGTGCACACCCCCAACCGACCACCTGCCGGACTCCAGCAGACA